AAAACCTCTTAATTTATTCATTGTCCTGAATACACAGAAATAATCCACAGAGCTAATGAGATCACCAGGTCAGAAACCTTAAACTGAAAAGGCAGATAAAAAATCTGTCAGTAGGGATCAGTGATATAATTCCTTTTTTTTTTTCTCTTACTCAAGCCATTCTTCAATGCAGACAGGTTTATTCTCAGTCTCGGAGCTCTCATCTGCTGCAGTAAGGCAGTAAATGCATCTCCATGAATGAATCCACTAAAATTTAACTAAATATAAGAAATTATACTCAACAGAGAGGAAAGAACATGTTGTGTTATATGTGTGGTTATAATTGTCCACATAGGATTTTCTCATGGCTGGTGAAAATGAACAATAAAGATTAATGTTGGCACCCTAAAGACATTTTGTTTCATGCATATGTGAGTTCTTATCAAGTCTCATAATGCCTTTATGCAGACAGAAGTACCATGAATTATTCTTTTATGCAGCCTCACCTTCCTTTCCCCAGCCTCCCCTTTCTGTACTTGAAACAGTCAAAGGCAACACTGCAAAGTCAGATTAGATAAAATGAATATATATGTAAAAAATATATTCAATATATTACATGAGTTAAATATTTGCTCAACATCTGTCAGGGCAGGTTGAGCATTCTCTTTAGGTAATCTGCAGTAAAACCCTGAGCAGATGAATTTTTCTGAAGCTTCCCAAAATCTTGCTCAACCTGTTCCCCAGCTTTGTCAGCACAAGTAACTACAGCTGCCCTGTCAAAACTACAGGGTTGTCCCCTGACATTGACACTCAGTTCATTCTTATTTACAGCCAGACATCCTAACAAGGTTTTCACTCAGCAGCAATGCACTGAGATCCAGAAAATCAGGTTTTCAGAAACCACAACGTGGTTCTGTTTAAGTCTTCCTCAAACTTCACACACTCTATAAAGCACAATTGCAACTCATGGGATCTGGCTGTATAGAAATTATAGCTCTTAACAAGTTTTGGAACTTATTTCCTGCCTGGTTTTCTCTATGAAATTCCACTTTACCACTCAGTGACATTAGAGAAGGGTCTACAGAGGGGCTGTCAGGGTACTTAGGAGATGGTGAAATATGATGATGGAAATTTCCAATGCCTTGGGAACACCAGTAAGGTAAGATTTTCTCTCCAATAAAACTTATCTTTGCAAGAGCCGTCTTAACATACTTTTAAAACCTCCTTGCACTGGAAATATTAAACTTGACATTACATAAAAACTCAGAGGAAATGTCAGTCCTTTAGACATTACTGGAAATAGGGTTATCATTAAGTCTAATTACCCACTTCTAGTTCAGAAATGCTATTTCATTTGTGGGCTAACCCCTCTCTCAGATATTTCAGGGGAAATTTCAGCTTCATGGGATCCTGTCCCTGAATTACCTGTAACAGCTTTGAACATTTTGGTATTTAATTTTTCTTAAGTTCATGACACTAGAAGTTGCATCTATAAAAAGACTTGTTAGGGTTTCCTGGCAGAGGGGAGATTTCAGTGGTGGTGATCTCTGCGCTGTTATCAATTCTTACATTTACCTCTGAAATTTTCCTACTGTTGGTCTGCAGATCCTTACAGGGACACTGAAAATCAAATGTGTGCCCATCAGGCTGTTTGTTTTTAGGACTAAAAGAAACCTAACAGCTCATACACTCAAAAACTCGGTACACAAACTGAATATCTTACTGAATAGTCAGGCAAGCAGGCTTCAGGAAGCTCATGGAAGGCAGTGCTGATGAAAACATCAGGGAATTGAGTGACAAGTGAGTAAGTTCGTTTTTAACAGCTGGAGAGAATCAGACATCAATATATCTTAGTTGCAAATTACTGACTGTCAGTATTTGTTTTACAATTGTGATGTTTCTGTTGCTGTTGACAACTGCTTGCTGCTCAAAATTGCAGAGAAGCCTTTACATAAAACACGATATAGCAATTTTTTCAAATCATCCTTTCTTTTTCTAGTAATAAATTTATTCAGTTATACAGAGATCACTCTATTTTCATTGATAATGTGAGAAGTCCATTTTAGCATTGACCCGTTTGTCCCTTTTAGCTGTTTTTCCCTCTTTTAGGAGGAGTTTAGGATTAGCAGAATAATCCAAATATTAATAATATAATATAAAACTATAAAAGATTTTCTTTTTTGCATATTATATTAAATGAAAATGATATTTAATAATATCAAAATATATAATATAATATTAATATATTAATTATTAATATTATATTATCATATTAATTATATATTATTATATTCATTATATTAAATATATTAGTATTATTATATTAATATTAATATTATTTTATAATATTAAACTATAAAATATTTTCTTTTTTGCTTTTCCTGTCATACATGAAGAATCAACATCTTCTGAACTGGTTAAACAATTAGATTTTGGTGTAATACAACACAACACCTGATCAGCAGGATCTATTTTTAAATTTACTTCCCTCTTTATGTTTTTTTTTCCCTATAAGCTGCACAGTGTGGGGTGTGAGGAACTCCTCCTTTTCCATTTAACCAGGAGGCAGCAGGTGCAGCACTCCCATGCCCTGACAGATGAAAATAATTTGGCAACAGGTAAAATCAGCAGTGCCTAGAAATCAAACAGTGGTTATCAAGGAAAACAGGTGGGGTTTTTTTGAACAGCTGCTCCTCTGCCCTGTCTCTGAGCCCTGCCTTGTGTGCAGTCACTGGAGGGGATCAGGGTTGAGAGCAGCTGCTTTTATCATGGTTTTTATCATGTTTTATAATGCTTTTTTTATGTTTGGATATCTACCTGAGATATCTGCTCATCAATAAGTTCAATAGCACAGAAATAAAATGAGAATGCAGAGGGTGAGCCCCCTCAACTTGCCACATTTAAATGTGATGTAAGGTGTTCATGGCTGCCCCACTCCCAGGTAATTTATAATAGCCTCAAGTTCCAGTATAAAAAGCACAAAGCTGCAGGAATACAAGTCAGCTTTCCTTACACTGGCTGTCATCCCCTTGGAAACACAATAATTAAGATGTCTGCTGTAACTGCTTCTGTCAGAAATATTTTTAGATTTCAACCCATTTCAAGAAACCCAGAACATAAGGGGGAAATTATTGTATGCTGAATGACAAACTGAGGAAAGTCTTCCTACTGTCAGGTGAAACATGGCAACAAATAGAGGCAAAATTCCTTGTCAATAATGTGAAAATTGAATTTTCCAAAGAATATATAAATGACAAAAAAAGGAATTAATGACAACAGGAAAGAAGAGCATTAGTTTGGCAAGGAACAAGGGCAGCTGCAACGGAAGTGAAATGGTTGGTAGTGATGTGAGAGATCTCCATCTGCTTAGATGCGGAGTTTTCCACGTTTTGCAAGTCTGGAGGTGCTGGTGTGAGGCAGCAGCTGCCCCTGCAGGGCTCTGGATGGATGTGGGGTGATGGGGCTGAGCAGGAGCTCTCACCTGCCTGAGAACAGCCCTCAGGAGATGAAACAAATGCAGTGAGACAGGGACTCAATACCGAGGGTGCTGCTGGCCTGTCAGAAATAGTTAATTCTCATTTAGCATTAATCAACGAAATGAGACTCAATTAAACAAGCTGCAAGCAGGATTAACAAGTGACATTAATTTGCCAGTTTGGAAAGGATGATTTTTCTGCCCAGTTACACACTTTTCATGTAAGTTTCCATCTGTGGAGCTATTTAAAGGGAGATAAGTCTGCTTGAGTTTTGTTCCCAGGCTTTTCTCTGTAAATATTGCCATTGAAAGGCTACTTAATTATTAATGCCTGTATTCTAATATACATTAAAGGCCAGAGAAGAGCTCTGACTGCTCAGTGTGGAGGAGAGACCCCTTGGCTGCAAGTGCTCAAACATCACCTCCTTCTGAAGCTGATCAGAGGAAGCATCCAGCAAGGATCAGGCAGGAATCCCAATTCTCTGGTTTTAGGAATTGCTCTGTGCTGTCACCCAGCAGGTTTGGGAGCTGGAGAAGCCACAGCAACAAGCATGGCCATGATTAAGCAGTAGGCCTGGCAAATAAAGTAACAAAAGTTAGAGAACAAAAGGTTAAGAAAGGAGGAAGAAGAGGAAAACTGGTCATGTTTTCAGTTTTCCACATCTTTCCAGGAAGGTGGACACTGAATTCCATCTGAGGCTGAGGGTGTAGAAATAAGTGAAACAAAAAGATTATTTTTCATGCCTTGCATAGGTGGGCCCACTTATGTACATCATTATATTCTGTTGTTCTTGCAAGGACACAGTGTTGTTAACGCATGTTCACCTGATAATTGTGTATCTTTTTCCTGCAAAATTGGCATTTTCCAATATACTGTCACAGGTAATTGCTCTTCCTTTCTACCTTGCTCGTATTGTGCACTTTTGGTGCCTTCCTCTACCTCAGCAAAGTCATCCTGAATCTGAATTTTGTTCTCCACTGTGTTTGAAGCATCCCTAGCTACAGTTCACCTACAAATTCCATATTCCATATTCCCCTACCCAAGTCACTCAGAATTTTAAGCTGCCATGAAATGTGTTGAATCTCATTTTGGGCATCCATCCCTTTTGACAGCAAACCTCACTTATTATCTCCTTCTGGAATTCTAAATACATTCACACAGAACTTACATTTTTTTCCTATGTTATTTATTTTTCCCTTTGTTTTGGATAAGAATGTCATCTGAGAAAATGCCAAAAACTTTATCAGGTTCCTGACATCTATTTCTTCTCCCTTTTCCAATGAGTTATGATTCTGTCTTAGAATGAAATTAAGTAAGTCTCAAGTGACTTTTTTCTTGATAAATGAATATGGATTCTTATCTTCTCCTTGTCTTCTGGATGCAAACAAATATTTTGTTCAACCATGAATTTTAGCGTATTACCAGGAAAGATAGGTCAATCAAGTTAACCTTTATGCTTTAACTGATTCTTCTTCTCCCTTATGAAAAATAGCTGCCTTTTTTCTTGTCTTTCAGTTTGTTTTTTTTAGTGCCAGAATTGCCTGTGAAACTGCAAACTGTCTGTATTTTTAAAAATAATGATATCAGTAGATATGTTAAATTGCCAGTACTTTATTTGCATTCAGTGCCCTAAACAATTTTTCTATGAAGAAATATTTATTTTCCAATGACAATTATAGGTCTGGGTGATGCTCAAAGTAGCATAAAATCCTCTAAATCCATTGTAAAAACTTCATCTTCAAGATATTAATTCTACTTTTCCAAGCATGGTGAATCACTGATTATAAAAGTTTAGTTTTTATTTTCTTGATGACTTTTTCTCTATTAAAGACTCACAAGATCAGTAATTTTCTGTATTAATGATCCAAATGGGTATTTTTCCCCCACATCACAAGAAAACCTTGCAGAAAAAGGTGATTTGCATTCACAGACTGCTGAAAAATGTCCTGGCCTTAAAACCTGAAGTTTGACCCTGAGGTTTGGATCAGGGTTGTCGAGACCTATGAAATTACAACTGGACACACACATACACACAGACAGGAGTCCATAACAGGAATAACCTGAAATGATTCTAAGGATTGGAGACCTTTCAATGAGATGATGATAAAAACTTCCTCCTACAATCTGGGTGGAAAGAGCTCTCCCTTGTGCAAGACAGAAGAAGAATTTCGTTAAGTGGATACCAAATTTTATCAGATTAATGCTATATTATGTACCTTCTCCAGTCAAGGATCTCCATAATTGAAGCCTTCTTTTGAAAGGGCTGATGTATTCAGTTTATTTTTGTCCTCAATCACTCCACTTTTTTTAACATTTTTAATTTAACCTTCTGTACTCCCATCTGCCCTTATATGATTATTCCAACTAAAAAAATCCAATTCCCTAAGCTGTCCATAAATAAATATTTTGTTGGCTCATTTTTACAGCTGCCAAAAGATCCTGAACAACAGAGATTAATCTTGTAGATGTACTAATTCGATCTCCAACTATCTTTCAATTAATTTTTCAGTTTTAACTACTGAAAGGAATTCCCCAAACTTGGCATTTTTAAACTAAACATGCACTAAATTGTATTTATCTAAAGCTTCATTTCAACCATATAGCCTGACACACTTTTTTTGCAGTTCTCAAGGTTGCTCAGTTTGTTGGTGATCTGACCTTGTCACTTGAAGTTCACGTCCAAAATTGGAGTAATTCCCACAGTATCCTGCATTTTCTCCCTTATGAATCGTCCTGGCTACTTCAGAGATTCCCAGTCCTCTGAATAATGAATGAATAATTTAAGATTCAATTTCTTAATCTGTTGCATTCATTCATTTTGCGATGACTTTGATGAGAAATGAAGGCACTGACCATCTTGCAGGAATGAATATATCAGATGTGATTTTTTTTTTTAATGACCTGTTCTCAGAAAAAAAAAAGCCACACAAAAGATTTAGATAGAATTTAAAGGAGTAATTGAAATCCATGGGCATGCAGATATTAATTAACCCCCTTTCTTCCTAACCCCAGCAAATGGAGCCTGTAGTTGCAATTTAATGGGTAAATTTACTTTTATCACCTCAACAGGACAACACTGTGGTGTGCAAGGACAACATCAGCCATGTAAACAATTTTCCACTCATTCCCACTCCTTAAGGAAATTAATAGATTGCAAAAAGATGTTTTAAAAATCATCTATATATATATCTCTTAGAATTCTCCAGATTTATTTGAAATATTCACCTGCATAATATCTTCAACTACAGAGGCACTTCTTTGCTCTGCTGTCTTGATGATTAAATTATTTTTAATAGAAAGCATAGGAATTTTAATATGTCATTAATAATTAATATTTCAAGGATAAAATCTCTTAGTAGTTCTTGTTTTAATTCTGCTCTTTGGAGTTTCACAGAAAATCTAAGAGACAATTTAGGGCAGTTAATATGCATAAATGTTGGAGGTGAGACTCACTGGAATCCAACTTTTTTGGACTCTTTAATTAAAACAGTGTTTATTAAAAGGTTTGTTTTATTTCCTACCTTTCTCTATACAGGCCTGAGTTTAGTTAAGAGAAGTTAGAGAGAGCAAGGGAATTGTGATGGAAATAAATAAACAAGCACAATAAATTTGGAACAGGGAGGAGTGGTTGATTTTAACCCATGAGATACTTGTAAGTCCTTAATGCTGAAGGAAGAACTGGTCTCTGCTGGGGGACAAGGTAAGCAAAAACAGTTTTTAGGGTACCCAACCAATTCTTATCAACAAGAGATTTCATATTTGGTGTTGGTTTTGTTAATATCTCTCATTTATGTGCCCCTCCTGAGGGCCAGCACACCTCAAATGTCCCTTGCTTTGACACAGAAATGATATAATCAGCAATGATTGCAGAGACTGAACCAGTGCTAAGTGATTCTGCACAGGAGAGCTCTGGGGCTGCATTTTATTGCTTAGAGGAGTTTCAGTGCTAACTCCTGGAAGGATGGCAAGCACAAAGTGAACACAGAGCTGAGCACTGTTACTGACAATAAAACTCTCTGGCGCAGAAGGTTAAAGAGAGCACTGAGAGCCCCTGCACACAGGGTGCTGAGGACAGGAACCTGTATTTATCAATGCTGATGGATAACTGGGTGATTGTCATTAGCTCTCCTGAACCTTGGGCCTAAAAACATGTCTGCTGTGTTCATCTGCTTAATGAGACTCTGGTACCTCTTTACACTCTCACTCTGGGTATATTGAGCTTCCACCAACCAAAAAAGCACCTCATTACTTATCTTTTCCTTCCACAAAATGTCCTCTTTGCTACACACAAACATTATCCAAAGCTAGTGGGCTGCAGTCTCCTGGTTTGGAGCTTTTGGATAGATATGAAGGACTGAACCAGGAAATCAAGGATGCTGTGAGACTGTTCACTCAATTCCTGCTGGCATTTTGGCTGCCCCAGCTCATGCTGAGCCCTGGGAGCAGCAGCACTAGGTCAAAGCCGGGCTTGGCAGGCAAGGCAGGAAGGGCTAAAGGGCATTTCTGCAGCCGTGGTCATCTGCAAATCCCTGTCATGTTTGTTTATTTTAATTCTTAATAAGCTCATGAAATAAAGTTTAAGTCAGAGTATAGGTTGTCCTGCCAATTTGAGAGATCTAAATGGCTCTTGACATGCTGTTTGATTTAAATGCCTTAAGTAGTGTTCCTTACAGGAACTGCAAAAAGAACAAAAATAAAAACCGGAACTAAAAAAAAAAAATTGAATGCAACTGCTCTGAGGTGTACTCTTTCTACAAGCAGCAAATCTTGGGCTTTGCTGAACAAAGCTCTGAGTGCTTTTCTTGTCACAGTGTTTAGAGAGAACAAACATTCATTGTTACACAAGTTTCACCTAATTAACCTGACAGGCACACCACGCTCTAAACCAGCCTTCCAAAAAATTAAAATGTTTCCAATGTAGTCTCGGCATTTGTGTTCAAATTGGAACAATTCCCTTTGTGACTTTTCCTTAAAATATAAGAAAGGTGGTTTTTTTACCTGTACTCATGCTCCAGTGACTTAATTCCTTCTCTCATTAAGAAAAATGCTGCAGTTAGCAGGTGGATTTGTACACCTGAGAGCCCAGAGTTCTCCATAACCAACCCTAAGAGGAAAAACCAAAAACACCTTTATGAACATGTAACTCTTATTTACCCACTGGCCTAAACCAGTACCTTTTCCACTACAGCTTTTGCAGTAGATCTCTCTTTTTTTGTTTTTTTTTTCTTTTTTTTTCTTTTTTTTCCTATGGCTGAGCATTGTAAAAAGTGCCTCAGATCAGGTGTTTGAGAGTACAAAGAGTTTGAGCTCAGTACGGCTTTTCCAGACTTTAGATATTAAAAAAATACACCTCTTGTTAAGAAGAAAATACTTATGTGATTCATTTACAACCAATTCCTCGTGGATTTTGCCCACTTTGCAAAAGAAAGCATCAGCAATGTGCAAAAAAAGCAAATAACAAAGGTTTTGCTGAATTGAACTTAAAATTTCTGCTAGGATGTAAAACATCAAAGCCAGATGCAAATCAGAAAGAGATTCCTTTCAGGCTCATCATAATTTCCTTAAAAATTCTCAGATCTGCCCAAGTGTTGCAAATCTGCTTTCAAGAGACCCATTGCATGAAATTATTTTTTTTTCCCCAATCACCTCACACATCATCAGCTCATCTTCTCTTTCTGATACAATTTTGCTAATTTTTTAACAAACCTTTCACAAACCTGGCATATGACAGCTTGAAAGAATTCATATCTTACTCTCTTTCATGCAGCTGATCCTTGCTAAATCATAATTGATCTTTTCACTTTAGTAAGATGATGTTCTTACTAAATATTAAATAAAGCACCTGAAAACAATAGAGTACCACACTTCAAAAATCTCATCCTAAACTTTAAAAGTGTTTGGGAGAAAAAAATCCTAGAAGGGTGTTTATTTCCAACATCCATGTTCTTCTCAGTATTAACTGCTCCAACAGTAAAATTAATGAGGCACTGTCAGTAGGGCACATGCTATTACACCCAGCAAAAAGAATGCAAAATCTGTACTTGCACCTAATCCAAATGTATGCTCAAGGCAGAAAAGACCCCAAATTTTGCAGAAAGAGAGTTGCACCATTCTACCTCTTTTAGCGTCTACTTCTCCTGGAAATTAACAAGTGTTATACATTTCAGATCAAGGAATTGTCTCACATACATTGCTTTTCAGAAGAAGAATGGAAATATTGAACTCACTTAAACTCTTGGATTAAAATTTTTGTTCATATATATATATTTTAAAGCAGGAAGGAAAAGATTTTTCTAGAAGGTTAATGACAAACTCACATGGTTATACTGACTTAGTTCAATATTTTCAGTTGGTAGAACAAAAAATAACCTTGAGAGTTTATTCTAACAAGTTTTTCTTCTGCAACACCAGGCTTTGCAATCAACCTATACTCCAACTTTCCAAGTTATGCAAATTTGTATTTGCTCAGCTAATGCTTGGTTACAGAAAGTACAGACACTTATTTGCATTTCACAGCTAATAAAAAATCATGAAGTTCCAATTTTAATCAATTTAACTCAGTCCCCATGGCAGTCCTGGAGGAAATATGAGGGGAAACAGGGTGGTTTGCTCCTATTAAAAATAGCTGATTGATGGATTGACGGACTGATTGACAGATAGATAAATAGATGATGTGTCACTCATAAAAGAAGATCAGAAGCCTCCACCATAATAAGAACACCATTAAAGGCAACAGTTCTAAATGTGAGATAAACTGCTGTGAGCAAAGCAGGTGCATTGTCAATACATCTTCAGTTTTTCCCTCAGTGTTTTACACTGTCCTGCTTGGATTGATGTCCCCCACATGCAGAAGCCTCTCACTGATAGATTTTATTACTTAAATTCAACAATGGGGTAACAATTTGTCTATTTTGAGCAGATGGATTTGCTCCATGGCAGTAAATGGAAATATTGAAAAGGCAAGTGCCAGGCACTCGTTGGTTTTGCATTATGTGTTTTTGCTTTTATTTTTCTGGAGAGTTTGGAAAAGGAATACCAGCATTCTCAAGTCCAAGGAAAGAGCTGGAATAAACCTTCCTACTCACAGCTAATTGGTATTCAAATGAATAATTACTGGCTTTGTCAAATAGATCTATTCTGATTATTTCCCTATATTAGGTCTGTCACTCCTTCTAAATTCAAACACTGTGTTTACATCAACCTGTCTTTAGCAATTTGCCAGAGCTACACATTTGCACACGTAGCAATTAGAGTGGCCTGGGCATCAAAAGCAGCTCCTAATAGAACTGTGGATCAGTACATTCATTCATTAGGTTATTATCACTGATAGCATAATGACAAATGGACACATTAATTAAGGGATTTGTTTTCGAGATAATGATTGTTATGTTCAAAACTGCTTAAGGAGATATTTCCATTTATATCTCCTTGAATACTATATGGAAATAGTAGTTAGGTCACTTATAAATCTGTCAGATTTTCTAATATTTGTGTGAATTATTTAGACAACAAACATCCAGCTGTGTACACAGCACACATATTTTCCCCCGTTATGTGTGATTTTACCTTTTCAATGTGGTATTGAAACTCACTGCCTAAATTATATGTAGAAGCAGGGACTTCCAAGTTCATGTCTTCCACAAATACTTCTGGAACCTCGGGTGCAGCACAGATTAACATATGGCAGATGCGGGAGCCTGCAAGCAAAAAGATTCAGCTTAGTTTCAGACAGTGACAGCCCAGAGCTCTCAGCTCTGCCCCTGCCCTGCCTCAGTTTCCCCCTCCCAGCCCTCAAAGGGGGAGCACCAAGAGGCACAGGTTACTCCTGTGCTTAAAGCATCATTCATGCATCCCACAGCCCACTCTGCCTGGCTGGCAACGAGCTGCAGATGTGTGACAAGAGCATGGCTACAAAACAATTTGGTTCACAAAAGCATGCTACAAACCCAGATCTTATAGGTGTGAAAAGATCCCCTACACTCATTTGCCCAGAGCCACCACAACAAGATGAAACCCATTTCCCCTCCTAATTGTGTTCCTCAGGAGTAATGTTTTGTCATAAACTCACCTCTGGAAAACTTCTCTCAAGGACATTCAAGCACTCCCTGTTTTTGTTGCCCATTTCCCACCCCACTGTGGGCACATGCAAGGCAGATGAGCGCACATAACTCTTGGAGCTCTCTATAAGACATTTTTGAATATATAAACAAGTCCCTAAGCATGAACACTAAAAGCCTCTTAGGCTTTAGGTCTTACAGGAGAATTCATATTTTTGACCAGGACACAGGCTGAGATTCAGCTTCTCTGATTTTATGTGTCAGGAGCTGAATGTCAGATGTTATGTGTCAGATTCAAATGTGATTTGGTTGCTGTTGGTCCCTTTTACAATTTATTTACAGTGTCTCCCAGAATGACACGCACATGACTTATTTCTGTGACTTGTCAAGGATTTTTGCTGACTCCTTGAACCAGGGAACCCCACAAGTGCTCACAGCAGAACAGCACAGGCCAACATGCAGGATTCCCAGTGACAAACACATCCTTGCAATGTCCAAGGAATAGACAGGAATTCCAATGAATTCCATCCTTGGAATCCACCAAGGACAAATACTAAAGCAGAAGGGCTGTAAGAGAATATCAAATGTAGGGTTTAGGTGTGAACTGGATGCCGAATTCTCAGCCCTATGGATGTAAAAGCAATTTCAAGTGGCCCCATGAGACAAAGATCCTTGCAGGACAAGACCAGTGATTTTCTTTTTCTCTCTCCTGATTTTACACTCAGCTTGGGCCCAGCAGAACAGTGGAGCTGCACATTTGAAACAGTTTTCCTTGTAACTCAGACAGATTGCAGCTCAACAACCCCTTTTCTCTTTCCCTGAAATCGGCAATGCTTGTGGAGTTACCTCTCTGAGCTTAGAAACCCAAAGTAACACTCACTTCCGTGAGTGCGATTTCAATGAAATCACACTTCCTACACAAAATCCCACCTTCAATCACAGAAGGTGAGGTCTGTCAAAGCCCTAGACAAGTGAAACCTGTTCCCATTTGCACAATTTAGACATATTTTTTATTGTGTTTTACGATATTAGCTTGATTTAAAATAACCAGCCACTCCTACATGAGAAAAATATGGTGTTATATAGAAAATCCATAGAATTTCCATGTTGATTGATCAATAACTACTGAGCAGAAAGAAGTACAAAAAACAAAATGATATGACAGGTTCATTTGTAGACAAAGCATGGTGTTTTGTATTAATAAAAAACATTCTCACTCTAAGGCTAGTATTAATGAGAAACTTATTGATTCATTCAAACTTCTTTAGTTTTTCTCTAATCCATATTGAGCTGAATTTAAAACTCACTGAGCTGTCTATAAATATTTTGCATAGGAAGAGCAATGTGCTGATCTGTGAAATATGTGGGCTTTTCTGCATAAAATGTTGCTTTTTATTTTGCTTGAGTGCAGAATGGATGGGTGTACACATCTTTTAAATTGCTTTGTTTTTATTAATGCTTAGATCTGTAATAGCTTAATTTTTTTAAGTGCTGGCCATTTCACAGATGATATAATTCTTCAAGTTACCATCAAAAACAATTAAACAACAACAACAACTAAAAACCCCAAACAAAGAAAAAAAAGAAATTGCAGTAAAGAAAACAGTATATTTAAGATACCTAAAAGAGTTCTTCAGCTCAATGCTAAGATCAACTGTGCCAGCTGCACTACTGGTGACAATCCAGTGCAGACAGAAAAATGAGGTTATGTTGGAAAAGGATGTATCCAAAAAAGGTGAACAAAAATTTTTTGCTTTGATCATTTTTTTTTTTGTGGGGTTTTTGTGGAGTTCTTTTTTCTGTTGTTCTGTTTTGTTTTTAATGAAAATTCAGACTACTTCCCAGAGTACTGGGAATTTAATATATGTGAGGTCAGAAAAAAATCAGTGGCATGATTTATATTAACAAAGCACATTCAAAAGTTGCAAACATATGGAAAAATGTCCTCCTAAAAATTAAACCCCTCAAGTTCAGGCTAAATCTGATGCCAGCACACCACCCATGTGTTCCCCAGCACCAAACCAATCTGTTTTTCTGGCTGTGTGCAAGAACAGGGCACCTACAAGCCTTGCTTGTGAATCAGAACATTCCATAAATAGGCCAGTGGCTTCACTCCATGATTTCCCTCCCCACTCCTCCACCACAGTCACAGAGAAAAAATTGGAATACTTGTGGGCACAAGGCCACAGAAGGTTTCAGTTCAGGAATTTATTTCTGCAAACAGAGTGCAAGTGTGCATCTCTGTTTTCCTTCAATTTGTGCTGTGTTGTTAGCACTAAATCAGTCTTCAGCTACATCCTTGGTCATTGAAGTCTGCACAACTTGTGCAGAGATAAAACTGAGTATTATTTGCCATTTCCTCATTCAGGGATATATTGTTACTTGTTTACCTGTAAATAGACACTTTTAGGTGTTGCTTTGTCTCCCAAATACATTTCTTTTCTTGCAGGCCACTTCAAACTCAATATACTGTAAAATGCACCACCAATGTTTTCAGTACACAAAGAAAGGCGCTGAACACTTCAGAGATCCTCACTGCCCTTCTCCACATTGCTACCCTAAGGGAATAAAAATGCATATCCACAAAATTCTTACAAATTTGCAGATTATTCCAGGACTGGTGCTAACAGCTACACCATCTAAGCACCCAAGAAAAACACTTTAAAAGGGAGAAATGAAGAAGAGTTCACATTTCTCTAATTTTCACAATCCCTGGGTATAGTCAAGTGCCTGACTCTGTTCTGGTCCAAATAATTTCCAATGTGGGCACTTCATGGGGACAAGTGTGGGGAGTGGTGGCCACTGGAAGATTTCCTCCCAAAGCCCACTTCTGATCTGAAATGCAAAGTTTGAAAATGCTACTGAAACCAAATAAATCTAACCTTCTGAACATCTGTATCCACAGCACACCACCACAACAATAGGGACATAACTTTGGCAGTTTCTGGAAGTTCATCGGTGAAAAAACCCCTCTGGAAAGCAAAGGCAGCTCTGTCTGTGAGAAGTAGGGCCTGTTTCTCCTCTTCTGCTGCTCACCCAACAACTTGTACCTTGCAGTGGGATCAGCAAATTCAGCATCAACATTTTCCACAGTCACACTGGCAGCTGCTCAGCTTGGGTCAGCAGGCAGCACACTGAGCCTGCAGCTTCCCTAGATCAGGAAGATAATACACAAGTAATGCAAATTAGTTACTATCAAGCCCTCTGTTCACATAATAAGCAACTGATCAAAATTTTCTAGTCAGAAAAGAGTCAGCAGAGTAAAGCAGTAAATTTCCTTAGCATCTGTTGTGATGGAGATGGAGTAATGGTTCACAGGCAGGAGCTGGAGTTCTCAATCAGCTTAGTGCAGTTATGGGAATAATCACTGTGGACAGGAGTTTTTCAGGGAAAATAGAGTTCTGGGCTAACAAATTGGCTGTGAATCATTAAGGGATAGGGCATGAAATGATATTAAGCCACGGCAACAAAGGACTTTCAATTATTTATGAAAAAAGTCAACCGAGACAAACTGCTGTAGCATTCATTAAACTAATGAGGGGAAGCACCATGGACTGCAGTTGGAGGATAATACCTTGAGGTCAGAATGCAATTTGATGCAACTCTGGTTTGATCTCTCTGCTGAGAACTATGACACTGTTTAAAAATTCAATTTTATAAAGATCTGAAGCTGTAGATGCAGCTGCCCTTCCTTTGGAGAACAAAAGGGAGAAGAAAACATGAGAAGTGCCTCTATGTGGTAAGAATGTTGGAACCTGAAGGACTGCATTTGGGTTTGATATTCATATACTTGAGGAATAAAAGCTGGAAAAAGGATGAAGTGGCAGAACTGACCTGGGTTTGCATCTATCCCCCAGCACAAGGACAGCAGTACCCTCAGACTCCTACAGTCTCCCGGCTAAATTCTGGCATGGGCAGAAGGACTTCCAAAGTCAACACAACAACATGTTACTCACAATTCTGTCTTATTGCTAAGTTTAAAGAGCAAAGTATCAGGTCAGAGCCCTAAATATAGATTATGGTTGTGTAAACTCTGGTATGAGGCATTCAAAATCTGGGGAGGAGGTTTTAGTGCCATACACACTGTATGAGCCATGGCAGGCTGGAAGCCCTGCTTCACATTCTGTATTTCATCCAAGAGATAGATGAGCAAGTCCTCAATGCCTACAACTGCTTATTCAAGAAATAATTTTCTAATACCAGAAACTTGTCATGAGTGACACAACCAGAGGCAACAACAAGGTTAGAGGTTGATCTAGGCAAAATTGGACAAAAAAATTGGGAGCACTTTTACCCAGTGCTAAGACTATAAGCGTTGAAATTAGAATGGCAGGAGGGAGACAGGCTTGGAAAAGAAAAGGTGCATTTTCCAGAGATTACTTTCATTCTGAAAAACAAACAGAAATAAAATTGAAAAAAGCATATTTAAGTTCCGAACAAAATTATGTTGTTGCTATCAAAATCAGGATCTTCTATTTTTAAAGGTATTGCCATCCAGGAGATCAGACCAGGCAATATCAGTAACCCAGTTTGGATTTTAAAATCTTTACACACACAGGACAGGAAAATTATCATAACACCTGGGCAAGCCTAGAGCAGGAGTTTGCTGAGACATTATGCATGTCAGCTCTGAAATCAGCCAGGCCTGCTGTCTAACAATCAGCTGCAGCACCGGGATCCCTGACAAGAGGGCTTTTCATTCAGCCCCACTCTGCAATCACTTCTGATTTTCTAAAAGTAACAAAGCTGTTATTATTTCAAACAAGACAGAAGGATACAAGATAATTGAGTTTTAAAACTCCTGCAGAAGCAAAGCAATCCTCCTGGATTCAGGTGGAACCATTTTATTCGAACACCAAGACACTGCATCTCTCAAACTTCTGTTGAGCCATGGAAGTGGAGTCACTTCAACAAAAGTTTGAAATAGATGTATGTGCTTGATCTTTTCTGGGTATAATACATATTAAATATTCTAAATAAAATTTATTATCTCTACAAGAACTGCATAAGTAATATTTCTACAAAGCAAATGCCATCACAAACAATTAAAGCCTTCTGAGGCTGTAAGCAGCTATAAATTGCTGGAAATAATCAATAAAGAGGAATAAAGAAGGAATGGGATTTCCAAAATGGTTCAGAATATTCATTAGTCCAGTCTGGTGTCCTGTCTCTGTCCTCTACCATACAACTCACAAAATGAAAGTCCTTCAACACACCTGCTAAGCTGCAGGAAAAAAATAGTCCCCTCAGCTGCTCAAAATAAGAAACCAGCCTTGACAAATGAGATTTGATTACTTCTGTTTCAGCCTGAAAAATAATAAAAAGTCATCACAAGATTATCCACACACACTTGCAATTCAGAAATTATATTTGGACCAATTTTCACTACTGATGTACGTTTTATTATCTCCACATGTTATGGTAGTTTTAGATCAGAATTGAGTTTGTCCCTTAAACCTTTAATTTTCTCCTTCACGAGCTCACAATAATAATCTGGCCATGTTTTAAATTATTCAGTTATAATTTGCAAAAAAGTCTCGTTTTCTGTGCTTCCTCTAGTATCAGTGAAAGATTAAAATCAAGTGTGTTGTGCTGCAGCTGAAATGTGCTGCAGTATGCTTCAACAGTGTTGCTTGAAAGAGCAAAAAATAGTATTAAAAATGAATATAACTTCTTGTAATTGATTGACAGGATCAGCACTGCAGAAAAAACATACAGAATTGGATCATGCTCCAAAAAGAAATGAAGGGAATGAACCAACACTTTCCAAACAAGGACAAACTGAGAGCAAAAGGAAATAGACTTATGCATGCCAGAAATCATGATTTTTTAAAAACCACTGAAAAGTAAAACAAAACCCACAGCAGAATTCTTGACCATTTCCCTTTAAATGTCCAAGGTACCTCTACAGCTTGGATTTTGATCCCAGCTATTCCTGCTGGAGCAGGTGTCCTTCACATTCTGGGCTCACAGTCCTCAATCATTCAGCGAAGGGGAGAGCTGCAGAAAATGCAGGGAGACCATTGGAAGTCTGAGCATTGGATACATTTTTTATTTCTTTGCATTTTCAGTAGTCAAAAAAGAAAACCCCTCATCCATCACTTTGATAAAAGTCCACAGGGCATCCATTTATTCTCTTCCCAGCATGATCTGATGAGTTTGGATCCTTATTTATGTTCTTTCAATTCTCAGATGTTACATTTTTTTGGCCATTATCTGAGCATTACTATTTATTATTGGTCCACAATGGAGATCCTATTGTAATGAACTGTGATGCACTGACATTTTTCATGTTTGTTGGTTATGCCAGATTTATTGCAATTACTCTTGAAAGGGATGGAGTAATTTACTGAAATCTCATTGTGGGAAAAGAAACTCCTGCAGGAGGTTCTCACTGAATTTTCTATGAAGCTCTGCTAAGATCTTCTGTTCCAAGAGCCTGAATGATTGCCCGCCTGCTTTACAGAATAGAAAGTTTTAATTAAAAATGAGCATTAAGTTCATGATAGATCTGTCTCATATCAATAGCAAGAGCACACAATTCTAGTATTTTTAAAGGTATTGTTTAAAGATGTGTTACAATGAAATTCCAAGAAAGATGATGAGGAAAAGACTTTAAAATTAAACCTTTCTTATGAAATCAGGCTTTCTGTGGAAATGCTTGGTTTCCAAGGAGGTGCTTGGTTTTGAGAGGTTCAGCTGCTTCTTGGATGTCTCTGGGAATTTCCCATTTCAGCCCTTAACAATCTACACCTGTGAACTGAGCCCTGCCCCTTCCTGAGGTCAGCAAGGTGTGTGTGACATGAATGTGCTGGCACAGATTTTCACGAGATTGGCCCTTTCTCCAGGCTGAGCTTTTGGATAAATATTGCAGGATTTCATGTAATTAAGAAACGTGCTTGAAAATTAAAAAATGTTTTCAATCAAAATGATCAGACAGACATCTCTCAATGATGTAGGCAGTTTTCTTTCATTCATTACTGTTATATTATTGATTTTGTTGGTGGTACACTTGGGATGAATTTGACTGCTTCTTCCAAAAAAAAAAAAACAACCACTTGAAGTCTTATTGATAGTAACCAAGTGAGCATCTCATTATATTATCCCCTAGATTCTTAACAATAGGAGGGAATAACCACCAGGGAAGGAGAAAAAGGCTAATCCATAAATTTCTCATTAGCTGAAAGAGAGAGAAACATTTGCTTGAATAATGGAATATGTTTAGCATCACAGCCTGCAGTTAATCATGTTTACTTGCCCTAACTTTTCCAATATTCACAGAATGAGAATGCATGGATTTTAGCACAAAATCATCAGCTATCAATATGTAAACTGACTGTTCAAAAGCACATCTAAAGATGCACATTTTGAAAACAATGACAGAATACCTGTGTTCAGAGTAATAATAAAAACATTGAAATTTGCATATGGCACCATTATTCTACTTAAACATCAATAACAAGCAAAACTTAGAAATCAAACTAAAGTGAATAATTCACAGCAAATAAATTACCCAAATAATTTTCCCTAGTGTTCTGCTTAGGAAGATTAGGATTTTTTTTAAAATCCACTCATTGACTTGAATTTTTATGTTTTTTTTTTTTTTTTTCACATAGGCTATTAGATTCACCAAAATCCAAGGCCTGTCCTTCATTTCTACAGTTTTATAAACTATTTGGAATAAAAAAACCTTTGACAAGACAAATCCAAATTATCACTGAAAATAATTTGTGACTTGAGAATAGCTTGGGAACAAGAGAGCCAAAAGTGACTATAGCATTGAAAAATTTTGGGAATATTTTTGTTAAAATCTGCTCTTGTTCTTTTTGCTGTGTGTGGGGAGAACAGGTTGTTCTCTTGCTCTTAAGGGAGAAGCTTATTTCAATATTGAATTTTTTTTCCAGGATTGAAGCTGACTCAAACTTTCCTTGCAGCCACTGCTTTCTAGGTTTTCGGGGTTAGCCAACTTGTTTCCCTGGCCACATTAACGGTGATGACTTAGATTAATTTTATTATGTTGCACAGGGAATTGGTACAAAGTCTGTTTCTCAGCCTGTATTTGTGTTTATGAGCATTTATATCTCAGCAAAACCTCCCTTTCAAAGTCCACAGCTCCTATATGTGAAGATCACCTAACTTCTAATGCCATCTGCAAACTTTCTACAGTCTCATCCACATGGAGGTCTAAGCAAATTTTAGTCAGCAAATTTTCACCTAAATGTAACAAAAAAAAATTGGTTACTTACAGGCCCAAGAGAAACCTTCAGCTCTACACAATACATTCTTTCATTTTCACATATGCGTGAATGAGAAGTCACTTGCACTTGATTTTGGTTTTTTCTTCAGTCATATTTTAAATCCTACAAAACTGGTATCCTGTCATAAAATATCCTTCATAAGAAATGGAGCTCTAATATCATGATAGAAAGGTTCATGAAATTTCTGTGATTACAGCTGATTTCCTTTTACTTTTTTTTTTTGGCAGTTCCCCAGCTAAGATATCAAAGTGCAGCTTAAATTTTGAGCATACAGAAACGCAATCGTTTAAATACCAGTTGCAAACTTAGAATTTCTTCAGTGTCTTCATTTGGCAAATGGCCTCATATTTCCTTCTAAATACTTTCCTTTCTATTGGACAAGAGAACCATTTTTCTAAGACATAACTCCTACTGCAAGAGAGATAAGTTGGCAAAAATCTTCCTTATGAGAGCTCCAAGCAAATAGAAAATGGCAATCTATGGCATTTAACCCCTTCACCAAGCAGTGCCTTCCTTGCCAAGGTAATTCCAATTGCTTCACCCTTCTCTCTATAAGCCTTTAGTAAAATATTTAGTTTAAATGCCTTCAAATTCCAATTCCATGGCTGACAGCAGGAGCACCATAAGTAGCAGGTAATACAGATGTACTGATTCTGAGTATACCCAAAGCACTCAGCCACAGACAGGTGTGACACACCTCTCTGACAGATTTGCACAATTTCTGAGCCAAAACACAACAGGTGTCCACAACAGCACAGGGCTAAGACCAAACAGAGCTGGCAACATAATCCATCTTCTCAGAACCAAAACAAGGGAGTTACTTGCCAAAGCTAAGATGCAGGATGAAAATATACTCAAAAAACCCAAGCAATAGTGGTTCTCTTGGTCTTCAAAAGCAGATTTCAGATGCCATAATTTTGTGCATTTGTTTAATTTAAATGTAATAAACTGACAATGTATTGACAAGTGGTGGCCCTTAAAGTACATTCTATGGATGGTTTAATGCATTTTAAATATTTTTTTGTGCCAAAAGGATGTTATTGGTATGATCCAAGTAGCTTACATGAATCCTGCTGTACCAGTCTTTCATGGAAATGTGGCTAACCATCACAGCTTCTTGTTTCACCGAAAAAACCAAGACCTTCAGGTCCTTAGAATACATATGTGAGACACAGAAACTATCTGTACATCTAGAGGATGGATATTTTCAGTGAATTTAGCAAGATTATTGGAACTATTAGTCTTAACAGGATTATTGAGACTAATAACTGGGTGGGTATGCTAGAAACCATGCATTTAGTTTGACCTATTCACAGATAAAAACAATTCATTTTCTTTGCAATCCAGACCACAGTTAGTTCTACCTTTGTTTTAAAAATTTAACCACCAATCCTCATCACTCATTCTGTGCCTTCAGAGCTGCATTTGAAAACAGGGATATCATATCTTAAAAAAGTTTTTTAGTAGCCCTTCAATATTTTTTACTAGCAAAGTTCTATGCTAAAGACAACTTGTTCTCAAGAACAGAGGCCTGGAATGTGCCTCCTGCCTCAGCAGTCTCCCTGCTCTGCTATTTTAGTGGCTTTACCCTCTTTACATCATCCCACTTATCAAGCTATCAAAAGCTATTTGGGAAGTGTCAGCTTTCTTACCTCCTCCAATATCCCCACATCCACACAGCTCTATTGAGAAAAAACCTTGCAAAGATGATCCTTTCAGTTCTTGCCGGAGCTGAACTGGAGATCAGGCCCTTTCTCTCTCTTTGGGCAAGACAATCTCACTGCTCCACTGATCTTCCCTGAATTTGGGTCAGTTTGAAACCTGTTCTGGAGCAAAGCTGGTCAGAGCTGAACAAAATCCTTCTATGTGTCACGATGACCCAGAAAATTCTGATAAGCTTAAAAATCTTGGTTTGTCCTGCTGCACAAGGAAGAACTCCAATTTTAATTTGCCAGCTTAGCTGGGACCTTCCAGAACAGCTGAGAAATCCACGTGCATTTGCTAAATCACAGGCCTTCTGATGTGCAGGAGGTCACCAGACAGTGATCACAAGTTTCACAAATACACTGAGAACTTGGTGTGGGATGCACTTGTCCATCACACTGAACTACTCCGCTGTGTCTGTGTTCAGGACTGTTTTTCAAAGCTGGTCTGGCAGTGCTGCAGATGGAAATGAGGTAGCAGGCACAAATAGAACGGCATTTATCCAGAATTTCAGAGTAATTGCTTTTAAAACCATCAGAGATGGTTAGTTTACATTTCAGTGATTTTTAACAAGTTCCCTGCTTTGAATCCCAAAGCTGCTAAAGTTCCATATTTATTTTCCATAAAAATTGAAACAGGCTGTCCTAGAGTCTGTAATTTTCTTACAGTTTGGCTTTCCACTGTAGTTTGAGCTACAGAGAAATATCCCTGAAAAGAAAGCAAGTCTTTAGAGATCACAAATAACCAATTTCACAGTACAAGCAGTTGTAAATAGAGCTAAATTCCCTTTAGTAATAAACTATTCATCTTTGTGCTTCATTGAGTTCAAAGAAAAGCATTTTTCAAGTTTAAGCAATTAAGTTTACATTTTATTTTCTCCTCTTGAAAGGAAGTTATCACATAAGCAAGGGATTGAGAAGCCACTGTGGTATTGCAGGTATTCTCTGCGTATGAAATTTCAATTTAGCAAAGCATGTAAAACTCCACAGACAGTTAAGGTTCAATACACTAAACCCACTTTGTTTTCACACTGTGTTTGTTTTGAATCATCACTGACCCAGCTGATTAGCTGCTGAATTAGGATATCTGAACATTAGAACCATAGAATTGCTGAGGTTGTAAGAAAACCCTTAAGAGCATCAAGTCCACCTCTCAGCCATGTTCCTCAGGGCTGTGCCCACAAGTTTTTGAAATGCCTTCAGGGACAGAGCATCCACCACTTCCATTTTGCTTTCAGCACAGCTGTGTGACTCAAAATTCATGTTCAGCCTACACAGTCTGATTCCCAGGATGCAAAATACCTGCACTCCTCCTGAGTCCTATGACAGTGAGCCAAGCACAGGAGAGAGATGGGCCTGGGAGCTCAATTTCTCTTGTGTCAGTGGGGATATAACATCATCTCCCTCTGAAGAAGAAACACAAGGTGAAAAACCAAGATCCCAGCCACTTATGGATGCTGGTAATGTCTCCATGGCTCTCCTGTTAAGTGCAAAATTGTTCATCTCAGTGTTGTGGCCAGATTCAACCCCAGGTAATTACAGTTTGTCAACCTAAACTTCCCATGCACATCCAAGTGGGTTTCCGCGTAGCTGAGCAGTCCCTTTGTTTCACAGCTTTTCAGCAGAGCATGAAATGATTTCTGCACAAGATTTGAATACCTTTAAAGTTTGACTTCAGCTGCACAGAGGTAAGATCAGCATTATTGACACCATATAGCTGCATGCTAGATTTTGTGACCAGTTTTTTACTGGCTCCAAGTGTGGAGCTGTATTGACAGTCCATCCCATAGAAAATATCTTGTACTGAAAAACAAGTTTAAATTGTGCTTTGCTGAGGCCAGGTAAAATACCTTCAGATTTTATTCCCTTTATTCATGTCATGGTAATTGTTTTCTTTGGCTCAGTAATAGATGAAATGCAGCTGAGCCAGTAGACTCATTTGTCTAATTTTGCCCCTTTTTCCAAGTGGTTGAAACATGTGTGGCATACCATGATTGTTTGTTTGCACGTTGATTCAGCAAGAAACTGAACCAGTAGATTGGAGAAATTACTGGAGAAAATCTCCTCATGAAAAGGTGAATGAAGACAAGGTGCTGTGATATAGGTGCAGCCCACTGAAAATCTCTAATTTTAAAACAAGCTAGAAATTTGGAAACAAATAAGGGAAGAACTGGTGAAGCATGTGACCTTGGTGCTATCAAATCAGATGTGGGAGCCTAGCAGCAATTGAAAGAAATTCAATCTGTCAGGGAGAAGCCTGTGAAAAAACAACACCCCCAATGAGCTTTTTCCATGAGGAAATATGAAATCTAAATATTCTGATGCTAGAATCCAGGCAAGGAATGTTGGAGCAGCTGAACTCTTGAAAACAGAAGAACAAGTTACCTAAGGAATATTATCTTTAGATAGCAGAACACAAACAGATATCATTCAGTCATTCATTCCATCCTCTTTCCACATATGAGACAGATGACACATGAATGAAAGCTCTGCCAATTCACTGTTGGATTCCAGTAAATCCACTCTTTACCCAAGCCAAACCAGTTGCTCAAGCCTACAAAACTCTGAAGAAAATATGCATTGCTTATATAGTATTTTTTTGATTCAAAAGATTATAAAATTTAACAAGCCAGACATTTCATGCAAGTATGGCAGGTATATTTAGGATAAAACCCCTGACACCATGGTTAAGATGATTTACTGCAGTTAAAGGATATTCCACCAGCTGTGAATGCCATTCACAGCATTTATGAGGTGCCAGCAATTAACAGCCCATATTTTCTTTACATTCTTACAAATTCGGAGAGACTGGGCATTCCTACAACAGCAAAGGAGGCTGTTTCTGAGGGTGAATTTACCAGGCTCCTTTATCTGGATGTTTAATACACTTGCCTGGAGTTGTCTTTATCCCCCACACACCCTTTCCTTTAAAAAGGAAACTACAATCCATTTAGCAAGTTATTTATCTGCAGTAAACCTTCCATGACCAGATCACAACCACCACCCCAGCCTAAGCTTTTAATTGAAATAGATTAGCATAGGTTTTTCTATATTCTTTTTTTCTTCACACACATAAAAAATCCTCCAAATCCAAGCTTTCTATTTTCAGACTATTTAAAACTATTACAGCTTTAAATCACCATACTGTCATTAGTGGCCTCGCTGCCAGTCACATATTGTTGTGCCACTCTATTTTGAAGGGCCTAAGATTTCTTGTTAACTTTCTGAAAGCACAAGTTTTTTGTTTGAAATAAGTTTCCCAGACCATTGTGTGCAGCTTGCAGTGCAAAAATAAACACAGGGAAATGCTGGAAATAAATTGCTGTAGAAATACTGACATTGAGCATGGCCTTTTGAAAAGAAGAAAAGAAATCTGGATATGGTAGTTACTGTCAGCATTATCCTTCCTCTAGGAGAGGAATTCAAAAGCAGACACAGCAAAACAGTTACACCATTTATAGCAAAACCTTCTAGTCCATGAAATCAGAAGCTGTAAGAAAAGAATCTTTTTTTATTGTATCAAAATAGCAGAGAATAGAGCTTGGCTCTTGCAGCTCCCAGAGAGCCTTGAGGCCTTGACTCATGACTGTTTAATAAGCAGGTCTAATTCTGCAGCAAGTGCAAACAACACAAAACCCCTTTGAATGGGTTTGGAACCTCTTGTGGTAGCTGCAAAGACCTTCTTCAAAACAGACCTGCCTCTGTTTTCCATGTTCTGAACACTGGGAAAACCAACCTAAAGTGGGAATTAAATAAATGAAAATGTGTATGACATGCAGGAAAATTTAAATCTACCCTTGAATATTGCCTAATCTAAATTTTATGCAACACTTAAACACAGGAGCAGCGAAATGAGAGAACCAAACTATTTAAATACCTACCCAGTCCAAAGAAACTAAAAGCCCACTGCAATTTTTTTTCTTGTTTACGAAGCAAATAACAAGCAAAGCCTGTTGTCAGATTTAGGTTTAGGAGGCTACAATTTCAGGCAGAAATAGATGCCTTGTGCCCTTAAAAGTTTTGCTCAATATTTAGTTCCATGTGATTTGTTTTCTGAAGTTAGAAGAAACAAGTAAGTTATTTCTGAACTTAAAAGTACCGTCAACGTTTTCACATGCTCTTAAACAAAAAACATCTGGCTATATTTAGATATGGAACAATACATTATCTCAAAAATATTTGCCCAGTGACTGGGGAAGGACCTCAGCAAACATTTGGAAAAGTACAAGTTAGAGGGAATTTGAGCTTTTCCATTTTTCTTATCCCTGTGGAAATGAATTGTTACTAGACTTTAAAAAAAAAAAAATTAAAAATAGTGGGGGGAAGAAAAGAAGATAAAATACATACTAAAAAGCAGCTTCACTGTATTCATTAATAACACACAGCTACTGTATCATTGTGTGCATACAAACATACAACGACTTATTTAATAGAATTGTAAATGACTCACTGGTCTTTGCAGGCTGTCTTGTTTCCAAATTTCACAACAGCAAGGCTGGAATAGTAAAACAAGTTCTATTTGAAATGCCTTTTTTTTCTGTACTCTAATTGGGATAGCGAATAGAATTAAATAAAAATACATTAAATTATCTATTGTAGCAGCTATGGGCTCTATTTGCTGTACTCTGTCTTCTTTCAATACAAATTCTGAAGATAGAAGATACCCAGAATCTAAATCTGTTTCAAGTCTGAAGAAATGTTTCTAATAATTAGTGCCTACCAAAAATAGATTTTAATCATAGATTACTCTCTGTTTACTGATGCCATTAACAAACAACCAAAGTGTGAAACGTACACCTTGTCATGTGTCCTTCATTTGAGAGCTGACCAAGTTTTCATGCACTGTAGCTTAAAGAAATATTGGACTAAATACATATTTCCCTCATAAGAGTCACCTGGAAGACTGGTAACTTGAGAAGCTGCAGAAACCCATTAATTTCCATAATTGTCTTCTGCTTTTATCACCTAAAACAATATTTTAATCCAGACACTTGCCAAAGCTTTATAACAGACAAGACAGAGATATTTTGAACATACTATTTTAGAAAAAAACAGAATTAAATACAAGATTTGTTAGCAGCAGAGATGCATATTCTTTTTAAAACAGCACTTGTTAAAAATTATTGTGCACCAAGAGGCAGAATAAATATATTTTACTCTTCTTCTTGCTGTAAGTGATGTACACCAAAGGGGAACAGAAAGCTGTTATTACTTATTAAAGCTCACTATATTTTACTAAGGATGCTTTGGACTTTTACGGAGTCCCAAGATCTGTATGACACCCACAAATAAATCTCAACCCACAAAAATGTTTGGAAATGTGGGAGAACACTCCCAAGGATTAAGAATGTTTATCAACTTTTGATGACACATCAGGCTCATAAGACTTAGGTTTGATCCATTAAGCCTCTCCTAGTTTACAGAACATTTTAAAGGGATATAGTTTGCATATTGAGTTTTCTGGAAATATAAACATTCATTAAAATTTATTAGCATTTGTAAAAATAAATAAATTATAATATACAATCCGATGCCTGTTCACAGAGAAGAAAAACCCAGGGACCTGTCTTAAAACTAGAGAGAATATTTTGTCGGCAAAATGCTATAAAAAACTATGTGTGGATGAAGTCCTGAAACTCAGGAAGATGAGACAACTATTTTTTCTTTATTCCACTTTAAAAAAAAAAAAAAGCATATTTAGTGCATATCTGATTTTTCTAGACTCATCATTGTTTAAAAGCTAGTAATTTTGCTTAGAATGCTTTGTATTAATTTAATTTTTTAAAAAACATCTGTCCTCTGTAGAAACCAGTGCAGAGGATGCACCGGGTCCTTTGTGTGCTTCCTGTCCTTCTAGAGCTATGTTCATCCTGAACTGTAGCAAAAAGTAAATATCAACCCACACAAACACTTTGAAAAATACCTTTCAGAAAACTTTGATCACCAGCTTGCCAGACTGGTTTGTATTTTCTTAAAAGATCATCTTAAAAACAGCTGTTAACCAAGGTGGTATTTTCCATAGGTTTGTCAGTTTGTCACCTTGAACAGCTCCTTCGCTAGGAAGACTTTGAACAAAGTTCTGCACCAAAGACCAGATTTTTTCCAGTTCTCCATCATATCCTCAGGCAGAGTCCCAGTCCCCCTGGAGCAACATCTTTTAGGTTTGAAGATTTTGACTTACATGCAGAAACAAATTTAAATCTGACATTTACAGAAGTTGCTGAACACACATCTTGGTGCTTTTAATCTCCTCCCCACAGATGCTGTCAACACCACAGCAGCAGCTGCTACTCTAAGGTGATGCCTGGTAGCTTGGAACAGGAATCTCAGGAACAAAGAAGAGAAAAAAATAAACAGGGGAATGCCTTCTAGTGTGCTAACATTTGCAAAACAGAGTTCCAGTTGATATGAAGGCAGAATAGAAACAAGACCTTTAGGATGAACTTTGTATTTTTAGCATCTGGCCTTTTTGTGTGCAAAAAACTCAAAGACTTTTCTGCTGACGCAAATGTAATTTAGTGAGAAGTAAGAAATGGTTTTGCCATTAGGCTAATTATTACATTTTGTACAAAACAATGATGATAAGGAATGAGGATATTTTGTTTCTTCTCAGTTCAGTGGGACCTCAGCATTGGGATCCCTTAGGCAGCTCCAAAAGTCTTTATCTTAATGCTCATGTTCATGACTCAGAAATGCATTTCAACCTCTGAACTTACTTTGCAGTACAGGCATAACACTAAGTAAGTACAAAAACTAAATAAAAAAGAAAGAAAAGTCTATGTATCTAAGTATTCCCTATAGAACTTACTGAGACACAGGAAAGAATTTTCTAACAAATCTGAGAAACAGATCTTGGCACAATCTATCCTGAAAGATTTTTACAGCTCAGTGGAAGATTGGGCAGACAAAGGAAGACAGTGTGAATTCATCTGGATTTTAGCAGAAAGCTCAGGGAACATGGCAAAAGAAGCCCATGGTAAAATATGAAGTAAATCGTGATGGAAAACAACACCAATTACTACAAAAGATGTCACAGAAGAAGATTGAAAGGTATCCTACAAAACAGCATTCTCCTCCCTACCTAGGCCAGCATTATTCAAAGTGCCAACAGAGGACCTGGGGGCACAAATCATCTCAGCAGCATTTTCACAGCAGCAGCAAGATATAACTAGACATAATCAAGTTCAGTATGGATTTATTTTCCTAATCTTATGGTTTTACCTAGAATTTTGTGAAATGCTTGTCTAATAAAGATGAGGGAGAAAATGAAAGGATCAGTTCAGAGCAAAAAGAAGCATTTAAAGATTACCTCCATGTCATTTTCTATAGTCATATGATTTCTGGTGTACTCTTAAATAAAGGCAACACTGTCTTTAATGCTTGATTGTTCATCATAAGCAAATGTGAGGTGAATATGGCAGTAGAGATCAAAGTAATTTCTATTCCTTTTTACTAACCTTAAGTCAGTGATTTAAAGATTATCACTTCAGGCCCTCACCATAGAGAACAAAATATTTTTCCAACAATTGTTTGCCACTTTGCTCGTGTCTACAAGGAGTGTGAATATCTCTCTTCACCCTGCCCTGCAGTTCTCACTGCTACATTCAGACTTCTTGACAATTCACAGGCATTTCAGTGGCACCGCCCTTTGCAGCAGGAATATTCATTGGTCTCATGCAAGGAGCAGAAAGCTGATGTAAGGGGAGCTGGCTGGAAGAGAGGTGATGAATGGGATCAGCAGAGTTCAGCTCTTGGGGTCAGGGCTCTGAAGCAGAGGGCCCAATCAACTCCTCTGGAACCCTGCAAGGCACAGAGTGCCCCAGGGCAGGAGAAAATGCAGTGCCCCACTGCCAGGGATGGCCTGGAGGCTGGCAAAAGGCATCTGAGAGGAAGTCCCTGAGAAGCTGTTGGAGTTATTTAGCAGGAGCAGAGGTTGGGTGAGGCTGCTGGAGAGGAACAGAACCATCAATCACCCGAGGTGCCCAGAGCTATCAGTCTGTTGTTGGATGACAGTGACAGGACCAAGGGAATTCCTGCTTGCCATCCTTGTCTCCAGGGCAGCAACCATAGGATGTACAGATGTTACCGGGGTCTCAGCATTCTGGAGAACCCACTGCTGGCCTGCCAGGCATGGGAAGGATCCTTGACCTCCCAGACTGACCAGGACAGAGCCATTTCACTACTCTCAGATACCTGAGAGGGCTCCAGAGTGAGGGAGAGCAGGGCTTGGACATGTCACTGTAGGACAGCAACATCTCACTTGCACAGGCCCGCAGCAAAAGACCAGGCTCAAGAACATCTGAGGAACTAAAGGTGCACAAATCCATAAATCCATGGGTCCTGATGAGATACATCCACAGGTCCTGAGGGAACAGCCTGAGGAAGTGGCTAAGGCACTATGCAGCACATTTGAGAAGCCTCAGCATTCTGATGAAGTTCCCACTGACTGGAAACATTGATCAGAGAGCTGGAACACTTCCCCTACAAAAATAGGCCGAGAGAGCTGGGATCATTCAGCCTGGAAAAGAGAAGGCTCTGGGACACCTTATATCAGCCTTCCAGTACCCAAAGGAGGCTACAAGAAGGGAGTTTTCACCAGGGTGTTATTGGGAGGAAAGGGTTAAAAGCAGAAGATTTGAAGAAGAGGAAGTAGCTTTGCTCAAAGTTACCCTGCAGCTGAGAATGCTGACAGTGTTGCTGTGGGAAACCTTCCCTTCATTACACCTATTGTTGTTCATCCTCTGCCTGCTTTGAGAGGAGGAATTCCTTTGTGGAGATAACACATTCTGAAACACAGGCTTGAGTCTCCTGCTGGGAGAGAGAAATCATAAAGGCAAAACCTGGTGATAAACCATGTGTGCACAAAGCTCTTTGATATTTTGGGGCAGGCAGCAGCCCATGGATGAACTGAGACTAAAGAGTCCCTGTGAGTCTCTGCTGCCCAGCACTGTCAGAGACACAATGAAATAAACCTCTTTTGCATTTCAGCTGTGGTTTGATGGCCACCCTGGCTACCTGCATGTGCCCATTCCCACAGACATATTGTAAGTGATAGGAAAAGGAGAAATGGCTTCAGCTGGAGGAGGACAGGTTTAAATTAGAATTTAGGAAGAGATTATTTCCTGTGAGGGTGGTGAGGCTCTGGAGCAGGTTGCCCAAGAGAAGCTGTGGATGCCTCACCCCTGCAAGTGTTAAAGGCCAGGCTGGATGGGGCTTTGAGCAACCTGGGACAGCGGAATGATTCCATGTCTATGTTGGAATGAGATGATCTCTAAGGTGCCTTCCAACTCAAACTGTTTTACAAAATACTTACTCAATAAGAGCTTATTTGTCACCATCATATTTTCTGAAAAATCCTATTTGCTCAGGATTCTTCTCTTGGGAAGCTGAGAAGCCTCAGAGAAAAAGGAAAACAGTATTATCTCATTTGCTTCTCCTGTGTTTTGCTGCTTTGGAATGTGTTTAGAGGTTGTTTATCCAACAGGTGGTTGTTTC